GATGAGACAGCCACGCTCGCCTACTCGGAGAAGCCGACAAGCCCCATCACCGCGCCCCCCTACAGCCCCCCCTCCTACACCTACCCCCCCGAGAACAGCTACTACCCTGCTGGGACCTATGGCAGCCAGGGGGGAGTGACCGGGCTGGGGGGGACCCAGGCATTTGTCACCCCCAGTAGTGTGCTGATGACCCCATGCCCCTCGCAGGGACCATCCTGACCGGGCACTCAGCCCCAGCCTGCCGGAGGAGAAGCCACGGGAGCAGCCCTCCAAGGCCCCTGCTCGCCGTGGCCGCCGGCGCCGCCACAACCCTGAGCTGGATGAGTCACAGTACGAGACCGACTACACCACGGCTGTGGAGTCTGGCGACGAGCGTGACCAGGACCAGTGGGCCAGGTAAGGGTGAGGGGGGCACCCCTGGGGACCACCGTGCACCCAGAGCTGTTCCCCCGGGACTGACCATGCACCTCTCCCGCAGCCTGTACCCCCCCATCACCTCGGATGCCACACGGCAGCAGTACAAGCAGGAGTTCGACACGGACCTGAAGCGCTACAAGCAGCTCTGCGCTGAGATGGATGGTGTCAACGACCGCCTCAACCAGCTCAGCAAGCGGCTCGACAGCATCTCCGAGGACAGTCCCCAGTATCAGGTCGGGGCGCTTTGGGGGGACGCTGTGGGGACACTGGGATGCTGTGGGGTATTGGGATGCTGCAGGGCATCAAGGATGCTGTGGGGCATTGGGAATGGATGTGGTGGGGTACTGGGATGCTGTGGTGCATTGGGGAGGGATGCAGTGGGGTACTGGGATGCTGTGGGATATAGGGATGCTGTGGTCCATTGGGGAGGGATGCTGTGGGATATAGGGATGCTGTGGGATATCAGGGATGGATGCAGTGGGGTATTTGGGATGCTGTGGGGTATTCTGGATGCTGTGGGATATCAGGATGCTGCGGGGGATTGGGAATGGATGCGGTGGGGTATTGGGACGCCGCGGGGTGCAGGTTCCTGCTTGTCCCCCTGGGCCACCCACCTTCTGCGGGTTGTTTTTGGCCGGTTGTGACCCCATCAACGTGTCCCCTGGCAGGACGTGGCAGAGGAGTACAACAGGTTGAAGGACCACAAACGGGTGAGTGTGCAGAGCGTGGCTTGGCTGGGGTGGGGGGGGTCAAACCGTGCCCCTTGCTCCCATCACAGCCCCCTCCCTCTGCTGCTTCTCAGAGCCCTGAATACCAGAGCAAGAAGCTGGAGACCAAGACCCTGCGCAACAAACTCTTCCACATCAAGCGGATGGTGAGCAACTACGACAAGGTGCGGGGGTAACCTGTGCCCCCCAACCCAAAAAGGATGGGTGCTGGGGGCTCCCCACCTCACCCTTCCCCTTCCAAAGACTTTGGTGCATTTTGTGCCTTTATTTGTATAAAAAAAGCCCAAGATTTGAAGCTGACCCCGCAGTGTTGGTGCCAAGGGTGCAGGGCTGGAGTGACCCCACACCTCTCCCATGTCCCTCCCTTTCTGCACCTTCTGTCCCTCATGCTGGGAGCTGTGGGTGTCCCCCACTGCTGTAAATATGGGGAGGGTCCGCTGGGGCTGGGTACAACAAGGCAGGGATGTGCCAATGGGGCAGAGCATCCCTGGGCTGGGCACCCAGGGCGGGGACAAAGCCCTGGATCCCCCCCCACACCTCCCTCTGGGGCTGCATTTTGGGGAGCAGCCCTGGGAAGGGGGTGTTTTGTAAGGAACTGGCTGAAACTCTGTAAGTTTTTGTTGTTGTTGTGGTTTGTTGTTGTTTTTTTTAAGAAATAAACTGTAACTATTGATTTTATGCCAGAGCGAAAGGGGGACCCCATTCCTAGGCCCTTCAGGATGGAGGGAGCCCCCAAATACCCCCATCTTGGGGGGGCCCTAAGCCCCCCACTTTTCTTCCCAAAGCCCAGCTCTGTGCTGGCTCCTGCTCCCCTTCCTGCTGCTGCAGACCATGGGAATGGGATTTATTCCCAAGGGACCCCCACATTGAAGATCATCACCCAGCGCCTACCCCAATCCCCAGGATTTCCAAAACCCATCCCATTTTCAGTGCCTTATTTGGGCTTAATTTTCTGGGGGCTCCATCTCCCCCTCGGCTGCAGGCTCAGCTCCCGGCATTGTAAGAAACATCGTTTATTGACTTTGTTAATTAGTTTAGTATCATTGAACAAGGGTTATATTTTCAGTGAATCAACCTAAATGACGAATCCCTGGCTCGTCCCCTCTCTTGGCACCGCAGACACCCCTGAGAAGCAGAGCCCGGGGAGTGGGGGGGACACCCCATGGCCCCTTGTCCCACTGAGGTGGCTCTGCCCCCCTTGTGTCCCCCTTAATTTTGGGGACAAGGACCCCCCCCGGCAGCATCACCCTACTGCAGCCCCATTTAGGACCCCCAGTGTCTCCTCTTGCCCCCAAACCTGGCTTAAAAAAAATATAACAATGAGGCACAGGAACATTGTGAGGGTGGGGAGGGGCTGCTGGCACCCATCTCCCCCAGTTTGGGGAGCACTCAAAACAAAAAAGGGTCCCTTGGTTTGTACCCTGCGTGGTGCATAGCCCCTGTCAGCCCCCCCCTGAACCTCCATCCCCTCCCCGTACCCCAACAGTGGAGAAGCTCCAGTGGAAAGCACAGGGAGGGGGCTGGGATGAGCCCCATCCCCAAAAGTGGGGACCCTTCAGTCCTTGAGGCTGGATATGGCCAAGGGTGCAGGGCACAAAGGGGCTTTAACATGAGCCTTTTCCCAGGACCTCAGGGGCAGAGGTGGGGGTCCCACAGCAGAACCCCACC